GCTTCCTCTTATTTTAGCTATGCATACTTTTATATTTATTTAAAATTAGAGGTTTTTCTGGGGTCTGAGATAGAGTATGCTGTTAACTTTAGGGAAACAAGACATGACTTTTCCCCTCAATTTAGAGAACCTTAGAAGACTGTCGTTCTGAGGATAGACTGACCATTCTGTGCACAAAACTTTCCCAGCCTGTGAGATTTTGTCTCTGCTGAAGGGAGTTGTGTTCAGGATTATTGCATGGTGCCCTGATTATGCCTTCTAGTGATCACGGTACCGCCTTGCCCAGCTTTAGACTTTTTTTGCTCTAAACTTAGCATATTTTTTATTTTAAAGGCCAGATATGTACTGACTTAGTGTGTACCTCTAGTACAGTACACAGTTGCTGTGTTTAAATATCAGGCTTTTTAGTTTTCCTGCTAGTTAAAATTTTATGACTTGCAATTTTTTTAGCAACTCTATGGAGTTTTGGCATTTATCATTTTGTGGTTAATTACTTATTTTAAAATATTCATTGCTTTATTTTTTAATCTAAGAAATTATAAGCTAGGTAATGGTGGCAAATTCCTATAATAGTACTTGGGAGGTAGAGGTGGGGGAATCATAAGCCTTGGCCAGCTTGGGCCGTAAAAAAACCTTGACCCAAACCAACATGAACAACAAAACCCTGACTATATCTCATTGATTCTAACTGTAGATTCTAACTTCCTTCATAGGTATTAAAAGAGATATCGAGGAGCTTTGTGAAGCTGTACCACAGCTTGTCAGTGTGTTCAAAATTAAGGACAAAATTGGAGAAGGTAAGTTAAAGGTATGTTCTACTGTTGTTAAACTGTTGAAACCATAATGATGTAGTAACTGTGGTAACAGGTTTTCTCCTTTAGACAGAACGAAAGTAGTAAATATTAGAATAAAATAGTCATAACTTAGTATTCCTTTTAGACACTGTGTAATCTCTTAATAGAATTGTCTTTGTTAGCATTTTTTAAGCCTAACAGAATGTTTACTTGATTGCTTCATAGGCACCTTCAGCTCTGTTTATTTGGCCACAGCACAGTTGCAAGAAGGACATGAAGAGAAAATTGCGCTGAAACACTTAATCCCAACAAGTCATCCTGTGAGGATTGCAGCAGAGCTTCAGTGTCTGACGGTTGCAGGGTAGGCATTTAAAGGCATTTCAATGGAACGGGCTATGTGTGGTTTATAGTATTTACAGTAGCTTAACAGGACTGATGAACATGTGGCTAAATAACAGCTATTTGTTGTTCTTGGCTAATGCTTTGCCCTGTGCCTTGTGATGCTTAAATTGCTATTCATCATTTTAGAGGGGATTTTTCTTGAGGCTCAGCCTGGCATCTTGTTCTTACTCGATGTATTTTATAGCCCTCCTTCCTGGTCAATAGTCAGCCTTGGCTTCTGGTCTGGGCTTGTTCTTAGTGTGAAGAACTGTTTGACTCCGCAGTTCTGACAGTCTTGTCTCCTGTGTCTTTGTTAGAGCAGAGTCATGTGGCATGTTTCCCTTGAGTTTCTCTCGGCTAGGTTACTCCTGTCCACTCTGGATATGATGGCCTGCTCCTGTGCTGACGTGTCTGCTCTTCTAGTAGCACTATTGGTCCTTTGCTCTCTTTAATGACAGAATTTCTTAAAGGTTACTATTCAGTGTGCCATTTACAGATTATGATGTAATGATTTTATACATGCAGATAATGTTTAATGATCAAATCAGAGTCACTAATAATTGTATCTCTGTAAAGATTTATCTTTTCTGCGTGTTTCAAACCTTTAGATGAAATGTATAAATCAGTTGTTGTGAACTTTAGCCAGTCTGTTGTGTGGCAGCACACTAGACCTTGTCGCTCTTAACCAGTGCATAACCGTCATCCAACCTCCTGTGTCCCCTGCCTACTAACCTTGCCTCTCGTCGTCCTATATTACTTCCCACTTCTGTGAGGTCAGCTTTATTGGCATCTTCACATGAATAAGATCATGTGATATTTGTCTTTCTGTATAGTGCACCCAAACATGGGTGTGCACATACGCTACTTAGTTTTAATCTGCCTTCCCTGACCAGAAAATAACCACTCCAGTAAATGTTCTCATCTGCCTGTGTGCAGAAGGTACCACCATCTCTATCTCCTTAGCTGCTCAAGCCAAGCATGTATATATCATATCATCCAGACATATATATATCATCCTCCAGACACATGTTTATCATCCTCTGCATCTTCATTTTACTCCTGAACTGTGCTTGTCATCAAGTATGTAAACATTTATCAAAATATGGCATGCCTCTAATCTCAACTCCTGGGAGGCCAAGGCAGGAGGATTGCCATGAGTTTTTAGACCGGACTGAACTATAGTGAGAGCAGGACCAAAAAAACAAAACACACACTCCCCTTTTTTTCCCCTGTAAGTTGGTTTCACACTTTGAAAGACGTCATAGTTAATGTGTTTTCAGCTCGACAGGGTCTAGAATTATGTAGATACAAGGCTCTAGGCACACTTGTGAGGGATCATTGATATTCTAGAATAAAGATAGCTTCTGAGGCTTGGGGGATTATCTTGGTTAGGTTATGTGGTGTGGGGAGACCCATTTTAACTGGGCAGGGTCATTCCCTGGAAGGATCCTGGACTGTACAGACAGGAGACAGTTTTCTGCTCCCTGATGTGGATGTGATGTGACCAGCTGCTCCAGAGCTGCAGCCTTGATGGAACTGTCTTAGTCAGGGTTTCTATTCCTGCACAAACATCATGACTAAGAAGCAAGCTGGGGCAGGGCAGTGGTGGCGCACTTCTTTAATCCCAGCACTTGGGAGGCAGAGGCAGGCGGATTTCTGAGTTCGAGGACAGCCTGGTCTACAGAGTGAGTTCCAGGACAGCCAGGGCTATACAGAGAAACCCTGTCTTGAAAAACCAAAAAAAAAAAAAAAAGAGAAGCAAGCTGGGGAGAAAAGGGTTTATTCAGTTTACACTTCCACATTGCTGTTCATCACCAAAGGAAGTCAGAACTGGAACTCAAGCAGGTCAGGAAGCAGAAGCTGATGCATAGGCCATGGAGGGATGTTTCTTACTGGCTTGCTTCCTCTGGCTTGCTCAGTTTGCTTTCTTATAGAACCCAGGCCTATCAGCCCAGGGATGGCACCACCCACAGTGGGCCCTCCCCCCTTGATCACTAATTGAGAAAATGCCTTACAGCTGGATCTCATGGCGGCATTTCCTCAAGGGAGGCTCCTTTCTCTGTGATAAATCCAGCTTGTGTCAAGTTGTCACATAAAACCAACCAGTACAGGAACTGGGCACCAGAGTCAAAGGTTTCTCCTTAGGTTGCTTTGTTAGGGTTTTGTTTTGTTTTCCATTATGTGAACAGAAAAAGGCATAAGGTGGTGGTGGTTTTAGATGCTTCCTTGCCAGGTTTTCCTACTTTATGGATAACCACATTCCTTCCTTCCAAAGTCCCATCTTTTACAGAGGTCCTGCATATCGAGTAGTATACATATCTAGAGGAAACTCCCTGCATTCAAATCATACTTTTGTGATTTAGCGACTTCTGTGACATTGGAGATGTTCTTAGTCCCTCACCTCATTTTCTTGTAAAAATAGCGGAGATGACCTTTCCCATGAGGGGGTTGTGAGACTAGGGGCTTGTTGTTTTGTTTGTTTGAATTGAGAAATTTTTGGATGGAGTATATTCTGGTCATGGTTTCCCTTCCATCCAGTCCCTTCTAGGACTGTCCCATGCACCCCACTCCACACTCTTTGTCTCTTTAGAAAGCAGACAGGAAAACAGAAGACCAGGAATGGTAGCACACACCTTTAATCTCAGGAATCGGGAGTTAGAGGCAGGCAGATGTCTGAGTTCTAGACTAGTCTGGTCTACAGAGTGAGTTCCAGAACAGCCAGGACTACATTGAGAGACCCTGTCTCAAAAATCAAAAAAGAATGAAAAACCACAAGAGAAACACGCACACACACACACACACACACACACACACACACACACACACACACACGGTCAGACCAAAAACAAGGATCTCAAACAAAACAATATATGTTTACAAAAATCTGTCAAGTCTCTTTTTTTGCGTGTGTTTTGTGTTGCCCGTCTACTGCTGGACATGGGGCCTACCTTTAAGGGTGGTCAATATGCCTGGTGAGAAAACTAACTTTTCCTTTACAAGCTGGTGTCAGTTGCAGGATAGTTTCTTGGTTAGAGTTGGGAGCCCATGTCTTAGCCCCCTCTTACCCCACCGTGCTGGGTCCCCATCTGGCTTGAACTTGTGCATTCTGCCCCTGTTTCATAAGCTTATGCATGTGTCAGTTCTGCTGTGTTCTGGAAGACACTGTTTCCTTGGAGTCGTCCATTCCGCCTAGCTTTTAAGTCTTCTGTTTTTTCTGTGTAGCTGTCTGGGCTCTGAGAAGAGAGGTTTAGAGATGTCCCATTTAGGACTGAGTGTGTTAGAATCTCGCAAGATTGAGTTTATCTCTAGGTATGAAATGCTTAGAGCAAAGCTCGGCTGCTCAGAGAGATGGTCAGTGAGTGTTACTTACGTTGAAATGTAATACTAGTCGTATCTCATCTGCTAATAAGTCTTGTTATCTGCAGATAGCTCATGTTTGCATTGTTATAGTAACCTTGTAACTGGTGCTATTTTAGTTTGAAAATTTTATCTTTTACATGTCAGTTAAATACTGATATTCATGAATGTGATTTTGCATTTTCTAGTAGTAAGTATATATGCGTTGCTAAAATAATTCTTTTTTTAAAGGTGTTAAGTTACAATGTGTTCTACATTCCCTCTAAAGTTCGTTGTGGATTTTCCACTAGGGGGCAAGACAATGTCATGGGAGTTAAGTACTGCTTCAGAAAAAACGATCATGTGGTTATTGCTATGCCGTATCTGGAACACGAGTCTTTTTTGGTAGGTTTTAATAGTTTTGAGCTTTAATCAGCTAAATGTTCAAATTGAAAAAATTTTGTGACTTCATTCATAACTTTATTTTAGGACATTTTGAATTCTCTTTCCTTCCAAGAAGTTCGGGAATATATGTTTAATCTTTTCATAGCTTTGAAACGGATTCATCGGTTTGGTATTGTTCACCGTGATGTGAAGCCCAGCAATTTTTTATACAATAGACGCCTTAAAAAGTAAGTGCAAAGAATCCCAGAAAGCGTTAGCAGTTGAGTTCATGCTGTGGCGTCCGTCTCTTAGACTGAAATGTTCACATTGTTTCTGTTCATGGTTTTATTGTGACTGGGGAGAGGAAATAGAATGAGGAAAGTAAAATTACATCAGTAGCACAGTGCATGTCATGAGATACCCACTTAGAAGGCACTTGGAATCTGTCCTGTTTTGACCTTTGAGCCCTTGTTTCTGGGCTTTCTATTTTTGTTTTAATGAGAACGTTGGACCATATAATACATTTTTTGTTTGAAAACCAAAGTTGCTATATGAGTATTTGTGTTGATTATATATGGTAGAGACCTTGTAAACTGAAAATGCCATTTATGTTATATATCATACTTAGTTTGGTGAGGAATTAAAAGTATTCCCTAGCTCTTGTTGTTTAGTTAGAAAATTTCTACTGCTGTGCCATCTTTCCCACTACTGAACAACCCAGGGTTTTGTCTTTTGCCTCTTCTGTGTCCTCTTCTGCTTCACTCAGTACAGGCCAGGAAGGTGACAGACAGTGCTTGGCTGGTTGGTTCAAGGTCAGCCTTAGCTATTAAGTACTTGGGAATTTTTCTCTTTTTTTAAGGAATATTGTACATTCTTAATTGTTCTAGACTGAATTACAGTTTCTGACTGTGATTTGACAGCATCACAATGTTATTAAGACTGACTCTCTGGAGGAGGGTGATAATACGTGATTTGCTTCTAAGGTATGCCTTGGTGGACTTCGGTTTGGCCCAAGGAACACGGGACACAAAAATAGAACTGCTCAAGTTTGTCCAGTCTGAAGCTCAGCAGGAAGATTGTTCACAAAACAAGTATCACGGAGTCTCTGGACACAAGGGCCCACGGAGTCGCCCAGCACCTAAACACGGGGAGCAGCAGTGTGCCACAAAACCTTCTGTCAAAAGACCCTACGCAAACACACAACTTCACATTAAGCAAGGAAAAGACGGAAAGGTTCTACCTTTTACATTTTCAATAAGAACATTTAAGAATGTTTCCATCGACCAACAGAGGGAGATCTAATACTAGGATAGCACTTGTGATTAAGAGGCTTTTTACAAACCTATGTTATGCATTTTAGTTGGTTAGTTAATAAGAGTGTTACTGAATCAATTTCACTCTAAACTAAAATTTTCTACTTTGTCAGCTTATGGTTTGCAGTTAGAGATTACATTATATGATATTCTATGTTATAAAATTTAAATTAGTTGTCCTCCCTCCCTCCTCTTCCTCTTCCTCCTCCTCCTCCTCCTCCTCTTCCTCCTTCTCCTCTCTCTCTCTCTCTCTCTCTCTCTCTCTCTCTCTCTCTCTCTCTCTCTCTCTCTCTCTCTCTCTCTCTCTCATTATGATAGGGGAAATTCGGAAGTGTCTGTTTCCATTCTGGCTGCCCAGGCAAATGAAGCACCTGAGTGTGTGGCCTTGAGAATTTTTAGTGTTGTGTGTGTGGGCTGTGGTGACATGTGGGGGTGGAGTCTTGCCTAGGCTGTGTCTCCGTTCACAGTGTTTGGTGCCTGAGAATGTCTTGGCTGTCACGTAGTCTTTCAAAACTGTGGCAGAGGACAGCTGGCAGAAAGTGTTACAGATGTGACCCTTAATTCTCTTGTTTTTGTTGGTATTGTAGGAGGGATCTGTAGGCCTTTCTGTCCAGCGCTCTGTTTTTGGAGAAAGAAATTTCAATATACACAGCTCCATTTCCCATGAGAGCCCTGCAGAGAAAGTAAGTAATGTAGCTTCATGGGTCAGGTCTCAGTCAGCCGCACACTGACGGGCTCAGGGAAGCCGCTAGAGTAGCATGTGGTAATTTAGCTTTGGCAAAAGGCACTGCTACTTCAAGCATTTACTCCAAATTCAGTCTTTAATCTTTTTCTGAAGTCTTTTTGGTGGAAGTTTTTAGTTTGTCTGTTGCTGTGCTTTCTAGGAACATTCAGAACAAGGCTAGACTTCACCCTGTGATCTCCCAGGACCTCCCAGTTCCAACACACACAATCAGTAGTGTCCAGGCTCCTGTAAAGTGCCTTCAGCTTGGATGGTTCTAAGTTGCCTTAGGTACCCTGTGACAGCAGATTGGCGTAGGCAGTGTAAGGACAGGTTACAGTTGTGACATGGAGTCAGACCTTAGTGATTAGTAACTGTTAGAACTGTTATAATGTTCCTCTAGTGTATCAGGAAATGTTCAATGAAGTGTTAAATGTTTGCCAAGCTCATTAGTAAATTTTAATGTTATTTGACAGAAAACCCCCAAAAAGTCTTTAAACTTTTTTTTTTAAGACACAGGGTTTTACTACATAGCCTAGACTGTCATCAAACTAAGAATTCTCCTGCCTCAGTCTCCCTAGTTGTGCTGTTATTATTATGTACAACCATGTCCAGTGGCCTTAAAATGTTTTCATAGACTTGGCAATCCGGTGGTACCATCAGCAGTTTTCAATGAAGTTCTTGCTTCTGGCTCTGCCGTCATCATGCTCGCTCCCGTTTGAAGGATCGTGTTAAATGTTACAACTTTTTGTGCAGCTCATCAAGCAGTCAAAGACTGTGGACGTGATATCAAGAAAGCTAGCAACAAAAAAGACGGCCATTTCTACAAAAGCTATGAATAGTGTGATGAGGGAAACTGCCCGGTCCTGCCCAGCCATCTTCACTTGCGACTGCTATGGGACAGATAGAGTCTGCAGTGTTTGCCTGTCGAGGTAACATGTTCCTGTGGTGCTGGAGAGTCACAGCATGCGGCCAGACAAGATTAGCTGTTGAAATAACTGGGATATTGGTCTGTGAGTGAGGGAGTAGCATGGGCCCTGGTCACAGCAGTGCAGTGAGTGGATAGCTTGACATGCACTCATTGGGGGAAACCGCTTTCTCTGGAAATCACATTTGCTCAGTGAAGCTGGGTGGGTGGGGCCCTGGAGACCCTCCTTTGCAGATGGCATTGTTTCTGTCCTCTGTACTCTGCCCAAGTTCAGTAACCAGGACCAAGTGATGCTGCTTCTCGCAGCCTTAGGGTTTCCTTCAGGCTTTGTTTTTGTAGATTTTTCCTAGCTAACTCAGACCTACACGTGAATGAGTGTATCAATAACTTAGGATGCCAAACAAAAGAATTTTTATAGAATTCCTGTTGAGTTATATTTTCTATTACGGTTTTTATTATCTACCATCTGTTCTTATACTTGGAAACTAAAATCTGTCTGGGACAAGGCCAGGTCATAAGGATTAGGCCAGGGTGTGGGGGTTGGGGAATAAATGTTTATCACATTAAGTTTTCATTGCTTATAAGAATTTTATTTATATTGCTACCAAGACAGAATTTTATGTGAACTAAATTAATAGCTTACATAGTTCTGTTTTTCTTTTTTGAGACAGGGTCTCTTTAAGTAGCTCTGGCTGTCCTGGAACTATCTGTGTAGACTAGTCTAGCTTCTGTCTTCTAAGTGCTGGGATCAAATGCATGCACCACTGTGCCTTACAAATAGTTGGACTTTAACATAACTAGGGGTCTTACTTCTTCCTGATAGACGGCAGCAGGTCGCCCCTCGGGCAGGCACACCAGGATTCAGAGCGCCAGAGGTCCTGACAAAGTGTCCTGACCAGACAACAGGTACAGAGCGTGAGAAGTCCCCCGTCCCCACCCTGCAGAGCACTTGTCCTGGGTATAGTTGTCATCACCACTGCTGCCCAGAGCCCCACTTGTAAAACAGAGTGTTTCTTTATGGAGCTTCTGATCTTAATGCTGCTTTGTTCTTTTAAATGACCTCCCCTGCAACCTGCCCCATGGATTGTATTTGCTCAGCCTATCTGAAAGATGATTTCACAGAGAATTCTTGCCATCAGCTGTCAGGGACACTATTCAGTCACTTTTCTGTCAGGGTTACAATCACAGTGCTCACCTGTTATACTTAGTACTTTAGAAATTCTCTGGTGTAAGTGAAGTTTTTCATTAATTTTTTTTTCTACCATGAAAATAATACAATAGCAGTCAGTTAACAGATTTTGAAAAATAGAAAAGGTTTCTAGAATCCAAAAAGAGAAGAGAGCCTAGAGAGCCTAAAGAGTTGTAGAGCCTAGAAGACAGCCAGTTAAATGTGCAGTTGGCTCCTGCTGTCGTAGAGTGGGACATGGAGACCCTGTGTTAAATGTGCAGGTGGCCCTGTGGGTCACTTGGATTCACTGTGCACCTGGCTGTGCTGCTAGTGCTGTAAAATGAGTGCGACTGTTGGGATTCTTGTTAGGACACACATGCTCATAAGTACAAAATGACTTGTCAAACATGCTGACGACACTTAGGGTGTTGATGAGCATCTATTATCCAAAGGGTTATGAAAGGAAGTTCATGTGATAGAAAAGATCACCTCTGAGGAAATACTATAGAGTTGGAGATTAGCATTGAGCAGGACCTGAGAAACTCAAGAAATAGCATAGTCGAGTTGCAGAGGAAACCAAACGTGTAGTGTTGCTTAGTACAAAGTGGGAGTCAGGAGATGGACTCTGTGCACCAGAATGACCACTTGGACTGTGGGCCATAGATGCTATTGAAGGGAAGAGACAGAATGGCTGTGTTCTAGAAGGCCAGTGCATGTGTGCAGGGAGAATAGATTCTGCAGGCTAGTGTCCTGCAGGGGTCCAGCTGAGGGGTGACAAGTGCCTGAGGGGCATTTGTAACAAGAATGAAAATGAAGGTGAGCAAATGACGAGCATGCCTAGAAGGTGCTGCTTGTCAGCCCTCACAGGCTGTACTGAAGGAAAGGCTCTCGACATGTTTGCAGTACTAGCTTGAGGGACATGGACATGTGCCCAGAAACTAGGTAGCGAATGAACAAGAGCCTGGTTATAGAGAGAGGTAGAAGTACACTAAGTCACAGCTGGTTTGAGATTTGTGGCGCATCCATACGGGATGTCCTACAGAGCAAAAGTGGGTCTGAAGCTCAGGGAAGGAGCCAGGGTGGAAACAGCTGAGCATCCTGTCTAGGAGGACTGTTCAGGAGAGTATACAGCAAAGAGATCGGGCGCTGAGGAGCCTCAGCACTGATGGTGGAGAAGATGTTGATGGAGTGACAACGAGTCTAATGAAACTAAGAGAGACCGGTGCTGAGGGCCAGGGGGAACCCCACTGACTTAGCAGTGGGATGTTAGGAGAAAGAGTCAAGCCAGCCTGGTTTTGTCTCTGTGCTGGTGCTGGGCTTAAACCCAGGGTTGTAGCTGCACTGGTGTTAATGTTCATTGTGTCTCACTAAAAGGAAAATACCTGGACTATCAAGTCGCCATCTTGAAAACCATCCAGATTTCTTCCCAAATAGCTATTGTTGAATTTCCTTTGATCCTATAAAATGTACATTTATTTACAATTTCTAATGATGAAATATTTCTAATGTACCAGGGTGTTCAAGAGAGAAAACCATTTTGCAGAAGGAACGTTGAGTTAGAGTTGTGGTTGAACTTTAGAATCTCCCAAGAACTTAAGTGTCTATTCCAGAACTCTTCATAGGGAATCCTGTTTACTTGAGCCTGTGTGTCATAACTTAAGGTTTCTACGGTGATGTTAATTCTCAGTAAAGTTCTGCAGCTACTGGTTTAGGTGATCATACATTGAGAATCCCAGGCTAGTTTTTAAAGTATGTTTTCTGTCACAGCGATTGACATGTGGTCTGCAGGTGTCATATTCCTGTCCTTGCTAAGTGGGCGGTACCCGTTTTACAAGGCCAGTGACGACTTAACTGCTTTGGCTCAAATCATGACAATTCGAGGATCCAGGGAAACTATCCAGGCTGCTAAAGCTTTTGGTAAGTTTTAAATTCTAGAACAAGGCTTTTGATTGTCGCCTATAAATTGCTAAATAAATGTTACAAAATCCCCCTCACAAGTAAACTTACTAAGTATTTATAAGTCATGTACCCTTAGGAAATCATTCGCTTGCTTGAAAACAGTTACTTTGTTTTAAGAGTGGACAATTGTTTACAATAGAGTGTTGTATGCCCAGCACACACAGTGCACTAGTGACTGGTGTGTAAAGAGTGGACAGTCGTTTACACTACAGAGTGCTGTGTGCCCACACTAGTGTTTAAGGCTGAACTTTACATTCCTTTCTTTGTCAGATAACTAGAAGTCAGCTTTGTAATCTATGTCTTCCACTGTAATTAGCTTTTATTCTTTACATTTTAATAGTAAGTTTAAATCTGTTGTATATTAAGCATTGTATTTGGCACTGAAATGAGGATTACTGTGAAGGAAGATAACAGAAATGTGTTTTACTAGCCCTTGGTGTCTGTGTGGTTAAGGTAGCAGAGAAGAAATAGTTCTTTTATGGCATAGTCATGTGTGCACACGTATATGCACACATACATGGAATTTCTTTATACATGGAATTTTTTTTTTTGAAACAGGGTCTCACTGTGTACCTCTGGCCCTCCTGAAACTCACAGGGATCTTCCTGCCTTTGCCTCTGAACTGCTTATATTACAAATATGTGATGCCACCCTCAGCTTATGAGCCTAAATATTAGCAACACAGGTTAAGACTGCAATAACACATTCTATGGGGTGCCTGAGAATCGCTTCAGCCTTGCTCTGGTAGCCCAAACTTAAATGGCCACGATGTGTGTGCTTATTCTCCAGGTAGGATTATAGCTGCTACTTCCCAAAGGTCAGCAGATGATATGAACAGACTCTCAGCTGGCCTACCTCAAAAGTAACTAAGCTGCTATGTGCCCAGCCCCAGGACCAGCAATTCTTAAGCAGGAATACATACCAGAATTAACTAACCAATTTTAAGAACTGCATACATCTGCCCCTCCTCTCCCCACTTATGGAAAATACAATTTAAAAAATGGGAATACTTGTTAGGACTCTTTGTGCTTAGAATGGCTAAGAAAGGCCTTTGCTTTGGAGTACCAGCTGCCCAGGTCTGAAGTGCCAGAACACTGTATGGAGGTCTTCAGGAGAGTCTCAAACAGGCTTGCCAAGAGTATGTCGGCACCACTGACTGCAGTGTATGCCTCTTACCTAGTATAAGAACCCTTTGAGGTTAATAGGCTGAAATGATGCACGCAAGGGAGATGCAACATTGTTGTCTTGAAATTAGTATTACATCAAAAAGTATTGCATATGTTCTCAGCCACTTAAAACTTTCCACCTCCAGTAAACACATTTCAGATAAGGTTTGGGGATCTGGAGTGCATCAGCCAGTAACAAAACATTTTGTTAAAGAATTCGAGTTTCTGTCATTGATAATCAAAGTTATAATGAAGTAACATCTGATGAGAAATACTCTGGGGCAAGTTTGTTGATAGCATACAAAGCCTTCTGGGAATTTGCTGTTATAGTGCATTTATTTATTTATTTATTTATTTATTGTGTTAGTTTAGTGGTTTTTCTTTTTTCTTTTTTTTTTTTTTTTTTTGGTTTTTTGAGACGTGGTTTTTCTAGTGTAGCGTCTGTAGTTACTTTAGTCAGATCTTATGACCTTAAACTCATGTAGGAGAAGACTCAGTGCCCACAGACCCACTCTTTCATAAGTGTTGACTCGCCTGTTGTGCAGAGCCTGCCCCATTGCAGTGGGCCTTAAACACTCATTGAATTGTACTGAGTAAATTCAAAGAAAACTTGGAGCTGAAACAAATGCCTGACACAACATATCCTCGCTGAATGTGTTCATTAGGTTGTTCCCTTAATACTTCAAATGTACTCTTTGTCAAGTGCTAAAATGTGTGTGTATTTATGGCCTGGGACTTGCTGAACTTTGTCTCCTGATGTCAGAGCAAGCTAATAAATTAAGGGATAAACTGTACTGCTGTCCTCCTCTGGCAAGAGTTTCCTAGCAAAGCAGAGATAGTTCTAGAAGTAAAACTGGATGGATACGCACCTTCATGACTTAGTGTTCCTTTATCTCTGTTGCTTTCCCTGGCCCTGCCCACCTCTTTCTCCTGTTTGATAATTAGAAAATATGAAGACGCCTTTTTATTACCCAGATTGTTTTGTTGGCAAGCTGCTTATTCCTTCAAAGAATCTATGTGTGCAGCTCAGTGTTTAAGTCACATGTCTGTAATATAAGGAAGTATACAGTATATGATTATCTGTATATAGGGAAGCATACAGCATATGATTACCTGTTTCTGTCCTTATTTTGCTCACTTTGATAGTAAGTTGATGTTAAGTTATTTTAAAAATATTTGGTTTTTAAAAAAAGTGTGTGTGTAGTGTGCCCGTGTGTACATGCGTGCTTGTGGAGTCCTGAGGATGACATCAGGAGCCTTCCTCATTTGCTCTTATTATTCACTGAGGCATAGCTTGCTGGTACGGCTAGTCTTACAGGCCAGCTTCCTCTGAGAGCCTCTGAAGTCTCTGCCTTCTGAGCACGGTAATTAGAGGTGTGCTTTCACACTCAGCAGGCATTGGTGTAGGCTACGGGACCAAAACTCCAGTCTTCACACTTAACACAGCACGGGCTTTATCCACCCGGTTATCCCAGCCTGACTTTTTATTTTTGAAAAACCTGAGATCTGCTTTGTTAATTGATTCATTCATGACCATGCCTGGGGTGGGGACCAGGCACTATTTATTGTCATAGAGCTAAAGTCCTAGTCGAAGGAAAGTATTTGCTGTTAGAGATGAATAGTGTTGAGAAAGAAAGGAAGGAGGTGAAGAGGGTTTAGCTCTTATATGTTGTTCCAGAACAGCATCTAGACTATTGAAGTAACTAGGGTGTTTGGGAGGTCTAGTACAACAGACATTAACTATATCTGGTGTATGTACTGGGAAATGTATAGGAAATGAGAAGTTCAAAATATCTTAATCTTCACAGACTTTGAGGTGAGACAGACATGTCTCATTAGTTATGACAGTAAAAGTAATGATTCAGTTTTTCAGATTATAACAGAAACTTGACAAGGACTTTGAGCATACAGGCCTCTCAATACAGTTCTTGAGCTAGACAGGAGTGTCCTAACACTGGGGCATCCTAGGAAAGACATGGCCCAGAGGCGGCAGGGCTAGGAGCATCCTAGGAAAGACATGGCCCAGAGGGGCAGGGCTAGGAGCATCCTAGGAAAGACACGGGCCCAGAGGGGCAGGGCTAGGAGCATCCTAGGAAAGACACGGGCCCAGAGGTGGCAGGGCTAGGAGGAGGAAGGGAGGAGCTGCAGCTTGTAAATGTTCAGAAGCTGCCAGTCAGGGAAAGCCTGGCCTAGCACAGCAGTCCCTGTTTCCTCTCTCCTCTCCCCTGCTTTATAGTCTGGCTTTCAGCTGTGAGGCTGAATACACCTGAAGTGTGTGGCCCATGGCCTCCCGTCTCGGATACAGAAGGACATTCATAAGGTACATGACTAGACTTATTTGGTTTTCATGAATTGCCTCTGATATATTGAACATTTTTTTCTTTAAGGCAAATCAATTTTGTGTAGCAAAGAAGTCCCAGCACAAGACTTGAGAGCACTGTGTGAGAGACTTCGGGGTCTGGACTCTGCCACTCCCAAGTCAGCTGTTGATCCTGCTGCTTCAGAGAACATTGACCATAAAGCGTCCCATGTACAGGCTTCTCAAGCACAGCACTCAGAGAATACCTTGTATAGAAGGGACAGTGACGGCTGTCAGAGTCATCCTCAAGACTGTACTGCCAACTCAGAAGGCTGGGACTCGGTACCTGATGAAGCCTATGACCTGCTTGATAAACTTCTGGATCTAAACCCAGCCTCAAGGATAACAGCAGAAACAGCCTTATTACATCCATTCTTTAAAGACATGTGCTCCTGATATGGCTCTCTACTCACTGTTGCTGCTATGTGTTGTGAGGTGGGGTAGATAGATAATCACAGATTGTTTGCATCCAAGTCCTGGAGAGAATGAATAACTTATTTTAAGATTATAATATTTGCTCTGATGTCAGATTACAAACAGATTAAGAATTCTTAAAGATCCAGGGGGAGTCATTAACAAGATCTTTGAGTTAGACCACCAGGTAGACTCAGATGCTTAGTGTCCTGCTTTTCTTTGCCTGCAACCTTACTTAGCCTGTTGCATGGGTTCAAGGTGCAGGTCATAAAACTAACAGATATGACAAAGGAGAAAATGAGGGAAAAGCACTGTTTCCAAGGCAGAGTGTGGTCTACACTGTGTGCATGGGGGAACTGGCTGTTGGTAGTGTGTAGGGTGACCTTTCCTGTAGGTGTCCAGATGAACAAATAGTTAAGGAGAGATGTTTGTCACCTCTTAACATAGCCATTGTAAATTATAGGATTTTACTGCAGTTTCTGGGTGCCTAAGTGTTACATGTATTTATATTTGGAGCCCAATAATGTGTGTATTGTTGATAAGACAGAAATGCTTTTCTCATAGTATTATTTTCTCACACCACCTTTGTTTAATTAGGTAACAGCCACAGAGAAAAGTGAGCACAGAGCTGGGGAGATTACTTCTCTCTGCTGAGAGCAGCCACATTTCTGCATTTCTGTTCTAAGTTGATCTTGGTCAGGAGGAATGGGTCTTAGGTAATTGAGAGAAGAGATATAAGGGGACAAAGTAGCAAAGGGCTTGATATGGTGATGTGTGCGCTATGTACTAAACGTCTCTGTGTCCATGGTAGCATACCAGGCTTCACAGGGGTCAGGGGATAGACTTGCTGAGGACTTCCTGCTTGTATTGTCACAGACTATAGGGAACTGTCTCTCAGAGTGTTTACTTTACTGTTGTGAACATGGATAGATCAGTGTGTCTTGTTGATCAATTTGACATGTTTGTATAATATATATTTGTGTGTACACACTTTGTCTTATGCTGTAATTTTTTAAAAACTTGAATGTTTTGGGATATGTATTTAATAATAAACTTTTAGATTCTTATGTCAGAATACTTATTTAAAGAATGATAACTTAAGCCAGGCACATGTGGTATGTGTCTATAATCTGCCCAGGTTACTTGAGCCATGGAGAGCCAGAGAAGAGCGGGGAAGAGAATGGAAAACAGCTTTTACTTCTGTCTTCCCACCAGACGTGCTGGTGCACACCTTTAACGCCAGACCGCAGCAGGCAAAGGTGGACAGATCTGAGTTCAAAGCCAGCTTGGTCTGGATGATGAATTCCAGGCCATTGACTGCTATATAGTGAGACCTTGTTTATAGGTAAATTAAAATTTACTCCCTCTGAGACTAATGAGTGACCTTCCTTCACTTACAGAGGATAGCAGTTGTTCAAGTACAGGCCTGACTGCACTAAGCCAGAGAAGCTAGAATACCTGTACAAATGTGCTTATTATTAGCCCAGGTAACAGATTTTTCAAAAACGTAAAGCACTGTCTTAGTAATTAGAATGGAATCTTAATGCAGCTACAAGTTTTGATTGAGAAGCTATCAGGAGAGTAAGAGGGTAAAAGAATTTACCAAAACAGAGGGACAACAGCCTTGGGAAATTCAGACTTGTTTTAAGTTCCTTTAGGTCAGGACTTGATTGACATGCAAGAACTGAAGACAAAGATAATGTTAACAAAGTTATCCAGTATTTTAGTCCTTTTGCATCAATCTTGGGGAAACATCCTCACCATGCTAGTCAAAATTAATAAGGAATAAGGAATCTGTATGGCATCCTCTCTGTCTCTCTCTGTCTCTGTCTCTCTGTCTCTCTCTCTCTCTCTCACACACACACACACACACACACGGTTGGGGGGGTTGGGGAGGATAGCCATCAGATGTCTTCCTCAGTAGCTTTAACTGTTTTGAGACAGGGCCTCTCTTTGAGCTCACCACACAGCCACACAGCTAGGCTCCTGGCTGCCCAGCAAGCCCCAGAGATCTGCTTGTCTCTACCTTCCAGGTGCTAGCTTTACAGATGTTTTGTTTGTGGGTCCTTGGGATCAGAACTCAGTTCTTCCAGCTTAAGTGGCAAATGTTTTACCTAAGTCTCTTCAGCTCCTTTGTGGTTAACCCCATTTTATAATGGTAGACACTTCCCTGCAATAATTAGCCAAAATAGGCATTTCTAGAGAAAGACTAAGAAGGTTATGTTGGGCATAGTAGCACAGGATATAGGAGTTAAGGATAGCCTGGGCTTCATAAGCAAGACTGTCTCCAAGTACCATGTTGTTTTCCAATTATAAAAGTTTCTGGAATGTTTGACGATTCTTCTGGTTAGCTTTTTTAAAAATTCTTACTGCTTAAACTAGAGATTGTTAAGGTTTTCATTTAATAGGCCTTTTAGAGCTATTAACATAAGCTACAAGTACTGGTTTTGAAACAGACTATACCTCAGCCTTTTAAATGAGACTTTCCCTAATAAGGAGACGAATATGCTTTTCTTAAAAAACCCAAATAGAAAACAGTGGCTCAGGGATTGTTATTCTAAAGAATCCAACTGAGATTTTGATTGTTTCAAAATCTTAACAAAACTCATCAAGTGATGCTAATCCCTTAGTTTCTGGCATCAGCATTTTAGGAACAAATTTGTGTTACAGATGTCAGAATATTGATTGCATAAGGTCTTGAAACCCACAAAACACGGAGGCTTAGGTCTTAGTATTTTCTGTTGTTGATGTAATTACAACCCGACAAGTCACTGTAAAGTTATTTATCTAAAAAAAAGAAGGCCAAATTTGGCGGGTCTTGTCTGCCTGTGTCTGCAGATGTGTTGTTTCCGCCCACATTGGTGCTTGTCCTCTGTGGTCTTTAAAGAGTACTCAGATGGTTGTGTCAAGTCTTGTTTCAAGAATTTTCTCATCTTAAAGTCAATGTGGCTGTTTCCTGATTTTGTCAATGTGTGAGTGTCTGAACTGCCACCTCTCCTTGAAGGGTAGACTTCCAGTTCCAGACAAGCTGTCAAAAGTAGTTGATGCACCACATTACACAGTGAGGTTGTCATCAGAGTGACCCTAGTCACAGTGAGGTTGTCATCAGAGTGACCCTAGTCACAGTGAGATTGTCATCAGAGTGACCCTCGTTACAGGTTGTCGTCAGAGTGACCCTCGTCACAGTGAGGTTGTCATCAGAGTGACCCTAGTCACAGTGAGGTTGTTGTCAGAGTGACCCTAGTCACAGTGAGGTGGTTGTCAGAGTGACCCTAGTCACAGTGAGGTTGTCGTCAGAGTGACCATAGTCACAGTGAGGTTGTCGTCAGAGTGACCTTAGTCTCCAACAAGGTGAAGCTTCCACAGCCAGCAGCTTGCTGGATCCTCATGTGAAAAGTGTGGTCTTAGCAACTGCAGACTGGGTGAGAATCTGCAGGGAAGGCCAGGAAAACTGCAAACCTGAGCAGGAGAACATTACCTTGATATGACCGTGCATTCTCAGAGGAAGGAAATTAGATAAAAAGATAAAAGTTGACCTTGACCTTTGTTTTAAATATTTTAGACACTGACACTTGACAGGAAAGAATTTAAAAGGATGAGTAACTTCAAGCCTGTTTGAAGAATGTCTCCTAACCTAGTGAGGCAAAAACAATCGATGGCTACAACGTCGAGTCGATGGTTCTACACTTCTTTTTAAGCATACCCTTTGAGCAGAATAACCTTTTTTTTTAATGTATTTTATTCATCTATTTGTTAAAGATTTATTGATTTATTGATTGCTAGATTGATTGTATGTGAGCACACTGTCTCTGTCTTCAGACACACCAGAAGAGGGCATCTGACCCTATTATAGATGGTTGTGAGCCACCATGTGGTTGTTGGGAATTGGACTCAGAATCTCTGGAAGAGCACTCAGTGCTCTTAATTGCTGCACCATCTCTCCAGCCCCCAGAATAATCTTCTGAGGGTGACAGCAGCAATCCTAGCCACCGGGCAGAGTCCACCTTGGACTCCATTGAAGCAGTGCTTTAAGAAAAATAATGGCTGCAGCGATGGCTCAGTGGATATGAACACTGGTTGTTCTTGCAGAGGATCCAGGATCGTATACATGTTAGACCCCCTAACTCCTGTCCTAGGGAATCCAATGCTTCCTCTAATGTTGATGGGCACCAGAAACACACGTGCTCATTTGTGCAGGCAGGCAGAACTCTCACATATAAAAATTAATAAAAAATATTTTTAAAGAAAAGTAATAGGTTTTGCAGTACAAAGTTTAATCCCAACACATGAAAGAAGATAGAAAATTAGTGCCCTCATCTCTGTTGCTAGATCAGACAATGCCAGGCACTAGCAGGAACCAAGAAGGCGGAATGCCCCAACACCGGAAGAGGACAAGCCAGGCACAGTAAGCTGTAGGTGAACAGAACAAAGTGGAAGGCACAGGGCTGTCCTGTGGGTTTTCTAACCGGTTTCCTCTCTCAAACCCCCTATTCCATCCCCCCTTACCCTGCCTCTATGAGGGTGCTCTCCCATCCACCCACTCACTCCTGCCTCACCACCCTAGCATTCCTCTACACTGGGGCATCAAGCCTTCATAGGACCAAGGGCTTCCCCTCCCGTTGATGCCAGATAAGACCCCTTCAGCTCCTTCAGTACTTCCCCAACTCCTCCATTGGGGTCCCAGTGCTCAGTCCAATGGCTGGCTGCAAGCATCCACATCTGTATTGGTCAGGCTCTGACAGAGCCTCTCAAGAGACAGCTGTGTCGGGCTCCTGTTAGTAAGCACTTGGCATCAGCAATAGTGTCTGGGTTTGGTGTCTGCATGTGGAATAGATCCTCAGGTGGGGCAGTCTCTGGATGCCCTTTCCTTCAGTTTCTGCTCCACTCTTTGTCCCTGTATTTCCTTTAGACAGGAGCAATTCTGAGTTAAAATTTTGGAGATAGGTGGATGGCCCCATCCCTCAACCAGGGTCCATGCCTAACCTCTGGATATGGTCTCAACATGCTCTCTCTCCTCTTTGTGGGGTATTTCAGCTAATATCATCCCTGTGGGATCCTGGGAGGCTCTTGCTTTCCTGGCACCTGGGACTTTCTGGTGGCTACCCCCAGTTTCCCATCCCCCATTGCTACACACCTCTGTTCAATTTCCTGACCCTCTGTACATGTCCTCCATCTCTTCCCATACCTGATTCTTCCCCTCTTTTTCTCCTCCCCCTCTTTTCTTCCTCCCAAGTCCCTCCCATCCTCTACTTCCCTTGACTATTTTGTTCTCCCTTCTAAATAGGACTGAAGCATCCACTCTTTGGTCTTCCTTCCTCTCGAGCTTCATGTGGTCCACGAGTTGTATCATGAATATTCCATGCTCTTTGCCTAATATCTATTTTTCAGTGAATGCAAACTATGTGTGTTCTTGTGTGACAGTCACCTTACTCAGGATGATAGTTTCTAGCTCCATCCATTTGCCTGCAAATTTCATGAAGTTATTTTTTTAATAGCTGAGTAGTATTCCATTGTGTAAATGTACCACATTTTCTGTATCCATTCCTCTGTTGAAGGACATCTGGGTTCTTTCCAGCTTCTGGCTATTATAAATAAGGCTGCTGTGAACATAGTGGAACATGTGTCCTTGTTACATGTTAGATCATCGTCTGGGTATATGCCCAGGAGTGGTATAGTTGGGTCCTCAGGTAGTACTATGCCCAATTTTCTGACAAACCACCAGACTGATTTCTAGAGTGGTTGTACCAGTTTGCAATCCCACCAACAATGGAGGAGTGTTCCTCTTTCTCCACATCCTCACCAGCATCTGTTATCACCTGAGTTTTGATCTTAGCCATTCTGACTGGTGTGAGGTGGAATCTCAGGGTCGTTTTGATTTGCATTTCCCTGAAGACTAAGGATGTTGAACATTTCTTTAGGTGCTTCTCAGCCATTTGAGTTTCCTCAGTTGAAAATTCTCTGTTTAGCTCTGTTCCCCCACTTTTTAATAGGATTATTTGGTTGTCTGGAGTCTAACTTCTTGAGTTCTTTGTATATATTGGATGTTAGCTCTCTATTGGATATAGGATTGATAA